AGTCGGAACAACATTCAATAAACAATATATGACTCCTTTTGACGCACGTTTGACGTGTGCATCACTGAAAATTGCAACAGTTCACCAACATGAATTCAGGATATTTAGTGGTTACAACTTCAAAATTTCGGATGTATTTTGTAAATATAGAAATGATTATCAACAGACACTAATGAGAAACAACCATTGCACGAATTTGGTGGTTGTCCAATATGAAGTTAGTCTTTCCTATTTCGAATATTGATTAACATTAATTATGTGCCTATAAATGCATATAAAATTAAATGAAAGCCCATTCTCGTATCTTGGACTAGGTTCCAACCACGACTTAAATGTTGTACCTTTAATTTAAAGTTGGCTTATATTTAAATATTTAATTAATACTGTTACCAGTGTATGAAATAAGGCCCGTCCGACCGCCCGAGACGGGCTAGATTTCAGACGGACGGTCTAAATTTACAGCTAGCTAGTCCGATGGTCTGGTTAAAAATTTAAATGTTCCATACATCTGAGTAAATTCAAAATATCTTGGTGTCTGGTCTGGTTAAATCCATTTCGGGCTGGTAACATTTTGAAGTTACCAGCCCTGATGTCTGGCTGGGTTTTGGGGCTTATTTCTTTAACTGCTTTTCCACGCTCCCGTAAATGAGTGAGTATGGTTTTACGCCGCTTTTAGCAATATTCCAGCAAGAACACGGGAACACCAGAAATGGGCTTCACACATTGTATCCATGTGGGGAATCGAACCATAGGCTACCAACCCACCGCCTCTATCCCATAAGTATACAAAATGTGAAACCAACTTGAAACAATTTCGTCCCAGGGAGCTATTATTCACTTCCTTGTCCAGTTTCAAATTCTTCGCCACAAATTTCCTTGTCCTTACACACGCTTCTCAAATAACGCCAATACACTATTTGTTCGTTATTTAATTCTCTAGGCCATGTTTATCATACAATCTTCAATGTATCTGTCGTAAATCTTGTGAATATCCCGACGAAAATACAGGAGTATAGCGTGTAAAGAGACTGGCTTACATTCCCGACATATTCCAGTGATGCTTTAGGTTCATCAATTATCCTCTCTGTACTCTCCGCACAACAAACCACAAAACAGCTGCAAGGGAATCTCACACATTTTCGGTATGTGTGTTATCGATAGAAAATGTTTTGGAGAGTTGTGTATTGGCTTATAAGCAAGTGTTACTATAGATTATCAGGATAAATAAACGAAAGGCGTTTGTTTTGTAGAATGCTGGAAAGTCAACCTAAAAAACGGCCACAACGATGCTGTAGACCTTGATGTCAATCCTGATGCTGACGTTGCTGATGTTGCAGCTATGATGACCATGGTGTTGATCTTTAAAACTGTCGATGAATGTTTACATCGGGAAAAAGAGACCGAAACCACTCAACACTGCGAACGCTCGTCGACTGTCTTTTGTGCATTATGTAGGAGTCCCACTTTCGGGTTGTGTCAGTTTCTGTTAAGGGCAATCAAAATGTAATAATTATAATCATCTTAACACATTGTTTATTACCCCAATGGATGCAGATAAAGCAAACAAAATTGAAGGAAATGTCCATTTAATCACAACGTACTCTGATAAATTTATAATTGTTCTAACAGAAGCAATACGACCTGTTATGTGTTATTGATTTTATAATGCATTAAAGTTTTAGATACATATATGAGTGAGTGAGTGAGTTGGGTTTTACGTCGCTTTTAGCAATATTCCAGCAATATCACGACGGGGGACACCAGAAATAGGCTTCACACATTGTGCCCATGTGGGGATTCGAACCCGGGTGTTCGGCGTGACGAGCCAACGCTTTAACCATTAGGCTACCCCACCGCCCCAGATACATATATGAACTCATGAGACTCGTGTAAAGCTGTCGGATTGTCGGATTGTCTGGTGTACACTTGCATGCAGGAATTGTATTTATATACTTTGTTTGTTTGTTGTTTAACGCTTACTCAGTAATTGTCCAGCTATATGGCGGCGATCTCTAAACAATCGATCTACGCAATTGGGATACGATGACATACTTATCTATATAAACTGCATAAATACCATTGTGGCATAACGTGTGTTATCATTTTTAGTTTGATAACAGTGTCAGAATCTACACCTAAACGTCGATCTATTAAGTAAACAAGAAGTTATTTTCTATAAATCGACGTTTCGTTATTCACTCACCAACTTCTAGAATGTCGATCCAACAATTAGTGTTATTTCCTGTCCTAAAAACTCAAATTCTTCTATATACGCGTGCCCATAGCATGCCGTATTTTTTGTAAATATTCTTGCCATTGAAAACAGAAGTAACGATTACACAAACATGGATTCTGAAATTAACATAAATTTTCCTTTACACAGCGCAAACACGTGCCCTCTCGCCGCGGGTGTCATGTTTTCAATATGCATGTTCATTGCATACAGGCGGTAGGATGCCGCTTGAATGTACAAGAAACAGACATGTATATTGCACTCGTGCGCCCCGTACTCTTTGCCTGTCATCCGGAGGGTCGTGTCAGTCAACGAGCTCACCTGATGCTTATCTCCGCTATATTACGCAACATAGCCGGGCGCTCGATACATCTTGGTAATTTAGATGATCGTTTAGATTCAAGATATTTTTCGCGGCATTGTAAATACAAGTGGGTCAAAGGTCTGAGAGATACCCCTCCTGGTGCCTGTTGTGGTGTGTAACACCCGGGGATGCGATAATAGGCCGGCTCGTCTATTTGGCGGACGGGATTTTGTAGCAGGTTTAAGATGTGCTGATATGGTCCTAAAAAACTCGGGGTTTTTCTAACAAGAAAGAAAATGTTACCATAAAAGGTTATCATTAAAGATATGAATTCTCTCTATTACATGTGATTTTTGTAATCAGACGCACATTTAACTCGAAAATGTAGATTATGAACAAAAGACACTTTCGATACATGTGTATTTTACAGTAAAATATTATCTTAAATACAGATTAAAATATATCTGTATCATAGTCGATAACATCAGAATAATGCTTCATAACATTTCCATAAAAGAAATCTAAAAAGTGCCAACTGCAAGACTACTGGTCTAAGAAAGTCATAAAAAACCTTTAAAGCTAATATCAAGTCAGTGAATATTTGTTACTTGGTGGGCCAGAAATGTTTACATATTTGGAAAGGTTCCGTAATCAAACTTGCATTTAGTTTGAAATTTGGAAAAGAGGTCACATGAACTTTTAAATGTCGGTAAAGCGGTTGGATTTACAGAAGAAGAAGAAAATGATTTTATTACAGTGTCACATGTTAAGTTAAAATATTTGCAAATATAAAAGCGGTAAAAGTAACATCCAGTCTATAGGCCTACGAGACACTTTGTACATTAAAATCAATAAAAGAATGCAATAATAAAATTCATTGCTGTCAGCAGTCACACGCCTACATCCCAGACTTTGTCTATATATACCTACTGTTAAACTCACATCTAATTCCCGCTTGTTGAAATATTCAGCTGAAAACCAAGGCTATTGAATATCAAAGGTAATATTTAAACCATAAAATAAAGCATAAATGATAAAATTTGGTAAAGGTTAATCCAAGGTTTATAGTTCTATATCAGTTCATTGCGTAACATTACGTCTCACGTCAAACACCAAGTGACCATGAAATTATTTTTCACGCGATATCAATGATATAATATGTCCTATACAAGCTCGGTGTATCTTATCAGCCTCTTGAAGTGGTGCTGTGACAGACAGGCGAGACTTATCCGTGATAGGCAGGGTATAAACCGCGTCCCGTCCCGGATAGTATACTTTATATGTTTAACTTTGGTCTACAGCTCTTTGATGCGGCGCCGAACAAATATTTGGTGTCTGCCATATCATATACTTTATGTCTGTCAATCAAGCAGATGTTTATCTACCAATGTTTGTATAGCTGTCAATCACAGTTGTATTATCTATCGAAATACTATTGAGCCGGATGTGTAATGAATTGAAAGGATGTGTATTTCATTTATGTATCAACAAATCGAACAATAGGAATGTTTATGAAAATACACATACTGGAGCTATTCTTATAAAATATTTATTATAAATATTAATACGCATTATATACATTCATGTATTTACATCAACAATTGAAAAGTAAATAATAGACATTTGCCCACGTAATCCATCCATTCGCCCATCCCTGAACTAATTCGTCTATCAAGAGGGTTTAAAATATACGCTTTGACGAAGTAATATCAATTTAGATTCAATATACTACTATATAGTTACATTCATGTACGTGTAGAATGGTGTCATGCTGCTTTATATGGTATCGTCTCTTGTCTGGAGTTCTGTGAATAGAACAAGAAATATAAAACCATGAAAATAAACCCAAAGGTTTATGAATTATGATTATTACAGAAAACAGGAATTACGGTCCATAACTACGAATTACAGGTAACATGTTGCACGGCAATTCCCCATACGGACATGTGACACATTGATCTCTCGGTGTCACGTGCGAGAATCAATATCACACACTTGTGGCCATCACGTCATGATTGACAGGAGCGGTTGTACATTTCTTGGAAATATGACAGAAAGTCATGGTCAGATGAAATGTTTGTGTCGAAACGAAGTTTGTGCACCGGTCTGTCAGGGAGACAACCAGCTCGGTCACTTCCTCGACGTTGCGTGCTAAACTTACTTCCGGACTGTCATCCGTCCGCTATCACTGCAATGTCTCTTCGCAGAATAATAAAAACGGAGTAGGTGAGACGCTAAAAAACTTTATCGATCCCCCACTTGAATGTATTGCTTTGAAATTCAAGCCGATTAAAGGTGCGTAACAATTCTCCTCAATGAGTCGAGCTAAATTTCACAATGTTTACACTGGAATGCAAAGTATTGTAAACGGCCCCATTTTGCCGCGCGCTGATTGGCTGACAGCAAGGTCGGCCGTGACGTCACAGAGGAGGTGTGGTTATATAGTCATAGACCACGCTATCCGTACAATCCATTCGTTCGTTGTTCATTGAGAGAGACACACGCTTATATCGCAGTCAGTCACAACAATGGGGAAGAGCAAGATGTACAGATCGTTCGACAAAAGTAATATTAAGTGCGTTCTTGTTGGCGATACCACTGTTGGAAAGTCGTGCCTGGCCCGGAGACTTGCCTCACACGGATTTAGCGAGGAATATACCCCGACCATGTTTGATAACTATGCTGGTGAGTTTCTACCGTTTTTCGTCTCCCTCGTTATAACGCGGTGCGTGTTCGCCAGCTGTTCTCGCTGATGCTCTACGATATTGGCGTTTATTTCGGGGATAACTTTTACTCTGGCTACATCTGTTACTAGGGAGTTTGAACATATTCTTTCTTCTACACATTCTTGGAATACTTCCGCAATTATCGACTCAGTACAAAGTGTTTTGAGAGCATGTCGTTTTATTGTTATCTTTAGTTTTGAATAACCACGATGCTGTGCCTATTGTCAAAGACGCTTATTATCTAGGGCACTATGGGAGTGTTATGAAAATGAAATTTTGAGACATATTAGTCATCAAGAGATGGATAAGCTCATGGTATTAGACAGTCATCCCAACGTTATCTTTGAAACAAACAGCGGTTTAATGGAAACCCAGAAGGGATATTTCAAATAACATTGTTTGACCTTTAAGTGGAGCAGAGGTAGCAAGGCGTGCCAAATCGCCTTCAGACAGTGCACACATGGAATCTGAATTATCAGCTTTGGTGTGTGAGACTAATATTCTTGAGGTTTTTTTCACACAAAGAGATGAGAACTCGTCTCGCTACATGCCTCGGTTCATGTGTATTACAAGAACATTTTCTGAATATTGCACCGCCTGGCATTTCATTGTATAATCTGCACTTTCTATCGGAGCTGGTTCTGCCTGCGATTTGGCACCTATACATATACACCTGACTCATTACGTCTATAGGTGGTAGCAGGGATGGTTAAGGGAGGGGGGTCATAGTCTGAAAGGCCCTTCTTTGTTGTGTCGGGGTCAGGAGATTTGGGATGCATGTGGGGATACGGAAGATTACTGCTTCCTGCTCTCAACACAGTTTAAATTCGGTTTCGTATTTCACTTTCAAACAAAGAATATGAACGATGCACTTTCGCCTTCCCCGTTGGACATCTCTTTCGATGTACTGTCAAAATTATAATATTGGGATGTATACATTGCCTATATTATGTAACTTTGGAGTTGTTACTAGGAGACCAACCACCCCCTACTCACACTCACACAGACCTCACACACCCAACAAAATTCAGTTCTCATCATTACTCCAAACAAAGGTCATTTAAAATATATTTTACTGAACTCAGTTTTTAGATTCTCGACCCCCACCACGTGATTAATGGTCCTAAAATAACGCGGCTCCACGTGAATTCCCCGACCCCTTCTGTTTCCCATAGCAAACGTTCCTCCCCATCCTGACCCCACGCAGCGGTCACTCGTCAGGGGTCCCGGGTCGCAACGGGGAGAGTTGGGATGGTGGGCTCTGGTGCAGGGACGCCTGGTCATGTAGGGCAGTAATTTCCTTTAAATAGACTAACGTATGTAAACATTTCTTCACCGCAATCACAACAAAGTAAAACTGCACAGCAAGACCCGTAATCTAGCACAATGACAGGAATATTTTATCTGAATAGAACCAGTGTGGATGATTCATCAAATATTGTCACTATCTTTCCACTGTAAAATCAACATTTTGAAAATAAATAAATTTTGTAATTACATGTATGTGTATGCTATAAGGTACTCTAAACTGAGATATGTTTATACATTGCATTTATAGACGCAGGGATGAGAAAAATATTATCAGATTTTCAAGTAAGAAAAATAGGTACATATAAAACAAAAGACTTGAGCAAATCAAATAAGGTGTTTTGTTTGAGAATATCTTATGTAATGAAATACTTTGTAATCGATCAGTATTATATTTCAATTTGTAGAAACGATTCGTGTGAATGTGGGTTAGGATGGCCCATGAAGGTGTGTTGCGTCACTTATTTAATTCCGCAGAGTTGGAGTTTTTCATTGGGATAGGAAAGGAATGTAAGTGCATGTTTTAGTGCAGAATCTTTTTGTATACATGCAACTTGCCAAGGCCGCGTATTTCGGTTCTGAAAAACAGTCATAACACTGATAGAAGGGAGGGAAGTGCAGAGATAGCGAAGGTGTGTGTTCGTGGGGTAGATAGACTCGACTGTATTTTCTCTAGTTGAGTCGGGATAAAGTCCCCGTGATGGCGCGATTTACTTTCAAGGTAAGCTGCTTTTGGGAACCTCTGCCAAGGAAGCGGACTAGTGGGACACATCGACCTGTCTGTGTCGTCCCGAACGTTCGCATTAATCATTATGTATGGCGTGAGGGTCGGAATTCGGTCATCTGTCGCCAAACTGTGACTAGCTCCATGTTTACCAATTGAAACTAGGCATATTTTATTGACACGTTATGAGCTATGATTTATGAATCGGAAAAACATGCCGTTATTTTTAATTCATATATGATTTCGTTTACATAGATAGGTGTAACACTACCCTTTTCACATATTTTCACAATGTTTCATTAGGGACCATTGTGGCGATTTTTATATCGGTTAAATTGTGTATTTATTGATAAAGGACACAGTTAGTAAAGGTAGGCAAATTTGCTTGTTCATTCTGTGATCTAACAATGGGTCCGTGATTGCAACAGTGTATAGGGATATTTAATCGAGATTAATTGACTCACATACGTAATTAGTCAAAAAGACTCGTCAGACAGTTCCCGGAGGGAATATTTACAGTAGTGGTCAAAGTAATATCCCTTGACCAATGTTACATCACCACCCTATTGTCCTGCTTTTTCGGACTTAATCAGTAACGGTGATTTGTGACTCGTAACGTCTCGTAGGCGACAGCTGAAAGCGAGTTCATCAACCTCTAGGGTAACAGAAAAGCATCCGAAACATTCGACATCGTTGAGGGAGTGATCGTGGTGCCCCGAGTTACTTTGTGACAGATTGAACCGTGTCTTGTAGTTATCATCGGATCGCCAACCCTTCAGTATGTAGTGCCACGCTTTCGCGTGTCTATTGTTAAGTGATGATGTTCTTAACTTGTCAATATCACTTCGTGACTCCGGTGACTTTTAGGATCGTTACCGAATCCGCTTAATCAGCATGAACAACACAGGTGCTTATTGCATGTATGTTTTAATGCCGCATGTCAATAACGCGGCCTCGGGTCGCCGGAGGGGAATGTAACACAGGTGCGTGGACTTTGTGGCATTTTGTTGACGCGTGTTGAAATCGCTTCGGGGATACATGGTCAATCAGACGTCAATCAGACTCGATCTTATGTACATTGCACAATGATTGATTGACATCGACACCTTTTGTTCAAAATCAACGTGATAATGACCTTAAGTAAATCTTACCATCACATACCTGTTTGACAATGATTTGTTTTGTATTCGCTTTGATTTACTTACATCTGAAAGTGACAATTAGCAGAAAGTATATAATTTTCTAAAGGCGGTCTTTAGAAAGGCAGAATAAACACATAATCATGACACCTTTTATTCTAAATTAACGTGATAAAACCTAAGTAAACATTACCATCACATACCTGTTTCACAATGATTTCTTAATAACTTTGATTAAGTTACATATGAAGGTGATAACTGGCCAAAAATATATTAATTTTTAAAAAAGCGACTTTTACACGCAATCACATAAAAACACAATCATGACATGCGGGCTTTTTTAGATAAAATTGAATGGAATTGGCAAGTTTGGAATGCTAGAACATCACCCTCAATTAGACACAAGGCCGGGGTCTTCTCAGTGACAGTGTAGGCTATGTTGTTTGTTGTTCTGGCTAATGCTTCACGTTAAAGATGCGAGGACAAGTGTTCTCAAACAAATTCTCCTGTCTTAAGCAAACATGGCCTATAGCATTGTTTATTGACCATGACGCTTGATAAATATTACTTCACCAGCAAAGCCCCGAATCCCACCTGAAGCAACATATTCGCATAACACCGCATCACACCTACTAGTCCTCCCATAAAGCTATCATATGTAAAACCGATCATGCAACTCGGTGTAACCGTATCTCGCCATCGTCATCCTTAACGCGCTGTTAGCGGGCCTTACCACGTAACTGGTTTTACGTTCATTCGCGAACCGTGCTTTGTAGGAGATAGTCAAGTAGATTCAGCAGATATTATCAAAGTTGGCTTTCATCGGAATCAATCAGTTCTACATACCTACTTTTATCGTAATTAGACTAATTTCGTTTATTTTGTTTCCAGCTACCACCACAGTCGATGGAAAGCCTTACGTCCTGAGTATATTCGACACTGCCGGCCAGGTATGTAAAACAGAAACGGATTATATTTTCTTATTCCTGAAAGATTATTCAATGAAAGAAAACGTTTCCTGTCATGGAGGAAACGAAAAGTGTAGACATGTACTTACGGAAGAGATTTTTTTTAGATTAGAGTTTTCATGAAGGAATAAGTAATTTCTAAGAAATTGTGACCTTATCTCTATTTATACAGGAATATAGGAAAGGAATATTTGATCTTATATAGCTAGTAATGCATCGTGAATTCGAAAGTCGTTGCAAGTTTTAATCCGAAATAGAGCAGTATGCCAAAGCGTTGTTCTGCCGATATGAAACTTCACCCGGTTCGACAAAATCGTTATTTCCGACGCTAATGTTGGTCAATAGAAATGGAGTAAATGGTTTCATATATTTAAGTATTTGTGCATTTTGATCGTTCTAACTGTTTTATTTTGATCTTCAGGAGGAGTTTGACCGTCTCCGAGCGCTGGCCTACATGAACTGTGACGTTTTCATGATCTGCTTCTCCGTCGCAAATCCCGACTCAATCAAGAGCGTGCTTCAGACGTGGGTACCGGAAGTGACGCACTATGCGCCGGACAGCCAGCTCATTCTTGTTGGCACGCAAGTTGACATGCGCGACGAAGCCGAGAACAAAAAGAACTACAACCCGCACCTCTTCATCCAGACAAAGGAAGGACTGCAGATGGCCTCCAAGATAGGAGCGGACTACGTGGAATGTTCAGCTCTGACAGAAGCAGGTACGCCACGGTTGAAAGAAGTTGCTGTCGACTCGGGCCTTCGATCACATCGACCCAAGGACGATACCTGCTGCGCCACCTGTGAAATCATCTGAGTTGTCTCCCCTCAACGTTGGGTCAATTCAGTAAGGATCTTCATCCTTTGTCAACATGAAGGGTCGTCCTTTATGCGTGCTGCTCCGATAGCCGTGAGTCCCCATGTTGGGGATTTTCGTCTGTCCGGGATCAACGGCACCCGACGTCATCAGTGACGTAATCAGTGACGTCATACCTCACGCAACCTGTGCAATACTCGAGTGTGTAACTGGTCACCTTAGTCAGCGCAGCCTTAATCGGGTATTAGTGTCACAACTATTGTATTGTAAGTGCAATACGGCGAGTGAATCATGTGATATATGACAGTATTCCAGTCAAGCAGTATTATGTCCTTGAGAGGGGGCATTCGTTCAGGAGGAGAATCTCAAAGTGTGAAGTGCAAAGCGGAACGGGGTGAAGAAAGACAATGCATACGATGTAGTCACGTGGTGTATTTGTCCACAATGGGTCGACTTCCGTATCGCATGGAGACAATGCATAGAAGAGAGCACGCCATGTCCTGAACGAATTGAATGAATGATGAACGCTGAGAACAAACATTTTATGTATATCAGACTATTTAAGAAGCCATGAAGATTGTTTTGTTGTTGTTTGCTTAGAGATATGTTTTGCTTGATATTTATTTTCACCATGACATGATATTTTTGTAAAATCAAAGATTCCATATTTTTGTAAAAGAATAAACTGAAATAAAACACAAAAGAGTTTTTTGCTGCTATTTTAAGTGATTAATGTTAGTCCGGTAAAACAGCCTACTCTACCAAGGAAGCAAGGACTTCCGAACATCCGAAAAGGCGATCCCAAAGGTGGTTAGTAACCATCATTATGTTTTTAAAGTCTGGCGTTTATTTCTGTTGCCTAGCAACAGCAGCTGAGCTGGCAGCTAACTATTCAAGCGGTCACTAAGTGCCTGAGAGCTAGGTGTGTTTTCTCTACCGTGCTGCTGGCGACGTAGGGCGCCTCTCGAGGCGGCTTCGCCGGCAACCTTCTGATGTTGCTAGCTTGTAGGGTTACACCTCTACACAGGTGCTTTAAGCGTCCATCTCAAGCAGGAAATGATAACCTCTGCTCAAGTGGGGATGTGGTATTGTATTTGCGAGCATTTTTGCAGACATCACTTCCTGAAGAGGGAGTCCCAGATTAAAACAGAACTAAATTGGGCGAACTGGAGTCATAGCAAGTGACTCACTTCGTAAAAAATAAGAATAATCACGATCCATTTGTATTATTAATTGTGATATATTTACACATCGTGCTTGGCTTTCCTAAAAGCTCTACACTCAACCTCGATCAGCGTGCAATGTATTTAATATGCCAGAAACCTAGGGAGTAGACAACCGGAGATGCCTGTGAGATGCTAGGTTCACTGTCAGAGTACCATCCTACCGGGTACCCATTCACTGCTCGGTGAACTTCGGATATTTCGAACAATGACATTCTGCTGAAGAGACAACATGTCCCAGGTCCATGTGCCAGTTCGTTTAAATACATGTGTATTGTACATCTATGTACGAGGGCCAGAATCTGATATTAATTATTAACCACTTTGTGCAACGGATCAAGACACGAAGTACATATCGTAAGACTGACACTTAGTCACAGAAAACTATCTCACTTTAAATATACCGTATGCATCTAAAAACATCAACAGGAGCTCGAAACAGTTCTTAATATACAGCTCGAGCAATCAAGAATTTCCCCAATCAGACTTGAGTGAGTGAGTGAGTTTAGTTTTACGCCGCACTCAACAATATTCCAGCTGTATGGCGGCCGTCTGTAAATAATCGAGTCTGGACCAGACAATCCAGTGATCAACAGCATGAGCATCGACCTACGCAATTGAAATACATGTGACTTCCAGATCCTGTTAGTCGCCTCTTACGACACGCATGGGGTGCTGCAGACCAATTCTAACCCGGATCTTCACGGGTTATGTGAATGAAACCAAATCCACATGCACCTTACTTATCACAATGTATAGGTTCAAGGCTAGGTTCAAGGTTAAAGGGTCAAATTGATCAGAAACAACACTATTTATCTTTTGCCTCTTTGGGATTTCCCCATGAATACAGTCTCGTGGAAAACATGTGAACGTCAAAATGTGTGGTTCTTTAAACGCCGATTTGCGGGTATATGACCGACCCATCATCTTATGGGAAAAGTCGTAAATGCAGTACATTAATTAACATAACAAAACCGTGTTTAGGGTGTGTATTGAGATTTGGATTCTCAGTCGTTCCCACGTTTATCTTGGTTAAAATCCTGTGTTAAATTGATTTTGTTAGACAAATTTCATAAAAATTGGAATGAAACGGGACAGGGATCGTTAAAGGGTAAATATTATGTTATCTTTAAAAACAAACTCCGTATTGACGAGTAATTGTTACAGTTAATTTAGTCAAATGTATTGTTTACATAGAAACTTCAACCACAGAGTAACAATCCAAAAAGGTAGATGGCAAAATAAAGAATTTGTTCTTTTTGTAATACTTGTCTTGGAGATGGCAATTTTCTACTTTAATGTCCATCTTTACAAAATCTGAGACAGAAATATCTTCCTAACTATTACTGTAAATACCCACCCATAGAAAATTTCAGTTCCCTTATGAATTGTTTTTATGTGCCCTGATTGACGAGAATGGCCAGATATATAAAAGCTGACCCAGCAATATTTCATTAGAGACAATAGGATCCAAAGTAAATTTTAGCAAATGTATATATGTATATTCTATATCACTGTACGTGATTTACGAGAATGAAACTCTGTTCTGTTCTGGTACTCCAGCCTACATCAACCACCATTGTCTGTCTCACAGTCCCTGAACAACATTATTTTCCCTACTGCCAAGCCCTCTGCAATGCTAAAGCCGTAAATGAAGCAAGTCTATATTTCATCAGGTTCTGAATCTCTGGTCTACCTTGGGCTCCTTTTCAATTTAAATGGATTTATTTGTTACAATCAAAATTATATATTCAGAGACTAAGCGTTAGTCTACTTCCCCCTCAACAGGACGTCATTCCGCAAATGACATCCTCATCTTGTCAGCTTGCTGATGGGGTAGACCTCATCTCTCATGTCAACGAGGCGGCGGTCTCGGATCAGAAGCTCCGTACCTCCCATCTCACCACGAGACTTGGGAATTATATGGCTGATACAGGTGAACCACCTGTCACCTTCAAATTAACCTCATTGGCATATTCCGCACGTGTGACAGATGACGTAATTGTTCATCACCCACAGTTGTTAAGTACTCTTGACTGCAACCATACCTCGTGTCAATGATAGTTGTTGTTCTGCAGAGGCTTAACTGAAATCATGTTCAGGTGGACTATTCTCAGAGTTGAAATCCTGGAACATCTTCGTTCACTGCGATATATGCAAAATACAACAATTATCTGTGTAATTTAGTGAAAAGTGATTCACGCCATAAGAAAACATGCTAGCTGCGCAAACTTGTGATGTACTGTACTGCGCTTACTGCCTGGCATCTACCGGTCACTGTTATAACACATTATTGAGGCAAGCAGATGTCGGATAGTAAAGCGGAGTAGTAACTCTGCACAGCCATTGCATTGCGGCAATATTTGATAGAAATATAGATCAAGGTGGAGTTGAACAAAGAAGCTATCTATGGCGACTGGCATATGTCGTTTAGTCGATTCGATTCGATTGTTTATTCAGTAAAGACTTGGGCTATATGCCCCTCGTCATCATTTTACACTGTATACATGATAGAATATGGTTATCCATTGAAATATACATATTTTTTACATTTACAAAAGGAGGCTGGACAAAACATTTCGGTACTTACATGCATAACTTTATGTATTTACATAATTTTGCAATATTATCTTTAGATATGTTTCTTACTAATTCCAAAAATTTCAACATACTTGGTTTCTTCCAAAAATAAGGTTTAATCAGTTGTTTTCGATGTACTGTATGTTTTGGGCAAATTAAAACGAAATGGTATTCATCTTCAATTACATTTACATTATTTTCTTTACAGTAGATACAATATCTTTTCTCCCGATCAATATTTTCATAACGCCCAGTTTCAATTTTTAATTTATGACACGAAATTCATAAAATAGTTAAATACCTAACAGTGTTTGGATGTAAAGCATCTAAGTATAATTCATATCCAAATTCACTTTTTCTTTATAGCCATAATTTACTACTTGAAGTAATGTAAAGAAGCGCGGTACATAACATCTATCTACATCGAATGGCATCTGTCGGATTGAAAGATAATGCTTTATTGCCCGGAAGGGAATTTGTGTACATCAGAGTTAAGAACATAAGAAAACAACATTTAAAACATTATTTATAAGACAAACATCTAACAATAAATATGCTAAGAGAATAATTTAAAAAAAATAAGACTTGTTTAAAAAGGATATGCTAACTGGTATAAAATAGTGTTTACTTCACTTTGACTTTACGTTTGGTAAAAGATACCTAGTAAAGACGAGTAGTACATAACACCTATCTATGTCGACTGGCATATGTTGGATAGTAAAGACAAGCAAAACATAGAGGCTATATATGTTGAATGGCATACGTCAGATAGTAAAGACGAGTAGTACATAACAGGCATATGTATGGATAGTAAAGAAGAGCAGAACATAGAAACTATCTTTGTCTACTTGCATATGTTGGATAGTATAGGAGAGCAGAACATAGAAACTATCTATATGTATATGTCGACTGGCATATGTTGGATAGTAGAGAAGAGCAGAACATAGAAACTATCTATATGAATATGTCGACTGGCATATGTTGGATAGTAAAGACGAGCAGAACATAGAAACTATCTATATGTATATGTCGACTGGCATATGTTGGATAGTAAAGAAGAGCAGAACATAGAAACTATCTATATGTATATGTCGACTGGCATATGTTGGATAGTAAAGGAGAGCAGAACATAGAAACTATCTATATGTATATGTCGACTGGCATATGTTGGATAGTATAGGAGAGCAGAACATAGCTATATATATATGTCGACTGGATGTTAGTAAAGGAGAGCAGAACATAGAAACTATCTATATGTATATGTCGACTGGCATATGTTATGTAGGAGAGCAGAACATGAGAAACTATCTATATGTATAGTCGACTGGCATAAGTATAGAGAGCAGAACATAGAAACTATCTATATGTATATGTCGACTGGCATATGTTGGACATAGTATGTATAGACTGGCATATGTTGGATAGTAAAGACGAGCAGAACATAGAAACTATCTATAGAACTGGCATATGTTATGTATAGGAGAGCAGAACATAGAAACTATCTATATGTATATGTCGACTGGCATATGTTGGATAGTAAAGAGAGCAGAACATAGAAACTATCTATATGTATATGTCGACTGGCATATGTTGGATAGTAAAGAAGAGCAGAACATAGAAACTATCTATATGTATATGTCGACTGGCATATGTTGGATAGTAAAGACGAGCAGAACATAGAAACTATCTATATGTATATGTAGACCGGCATATGTTGGATTGTAAAGAAGAGCACACCATATATGTGGTGGCAATGTTAGATGTAGAACAGTTATGTTATGACAGTCATATCAGCTATCTATGACGACCAGAAGACATTATTTGGATTCATACTGGATAGTGACTTGCAGTGGTGGATAGATGTGTGACGTTGGACTGTGTGGGCTGAATATCAAATCCC